GTAACTGAGTTACTTTTGAGAGAAGTAACTAGTAATGTAACTAAGTTACTATTTTAAAGTAACTTACCCAACACTGCACATCACACACGTTATTTCCAGAGGCTTTAAACTAACACACATTTGAATTTTGAAGAGTACTACAACAGTCTGTCCTCTACTATTACTAAACTCACACAATGGGCCACCTTTATTAGCTACACAGCAAATTTAAGAATAATCAATAGTCATAAACATAGTCCATCATAAATTACTTTCAAGGACACATGAGCGGTACTTTAAAATCTAACCTGCTGGTTACCACGACTGCTGCAGAAACTACTGTTAACCAAATAATTAAATTGAGCTTGCACTCTAATAATTTATTGGTGACATGGGTGGTCTTGTTTTTCATTAACAAACATGATTTAATGTAACTTGAAGTATATCAGTAGAGCTCAGCTGAGGGAGCACAGCGACTTTAATGGGCAGGTCTCGTCCCCAAGATCCATGTTTACAGGAAAATGTTTCCACTGAGGGGAAAATACTACTCTAACTACTAGCAACAGAAAAAAGGAGCTATATATAAAATTGTTGAGTCTTCAGAGTCTTCAGAGAGACTTTAGAAAACTTTCATTTCCACTTAAAGCAAGCTTTTTTGGAAAACCAGAAATGAAAGCAAAAAAAAACAAACTAAATCCATGCAGTACTGAGGTATGATGTGTTCTTCTCTTTTCAACACAAGACAGAGATTAACAAATTATTAAGTCTCAGACTTGGATTTAATTCTTTTCAGCGTTTGGGTGGTAATTTACTTTATTTTATTTATTTCTTCTGTTGTCAAGCTCTAAGTCACTACTTTTATGTATTAAAATCACAGTAGAAGCTGATTATTATTTACTTGATTAGGGCCCTCAATTTTAAAGTTACAATTCAGGGTTGTGAGAGGGTCTATTTATCTTTTGATAGTAGGTCCATGATAAGGTCCCAGTAGCTTTGATGCCTAAATCTGGCCAAAGAGTGAATAAAAGCCAAACACATTTGTCATTGAACAAATAAGGTTCATGTATTAAAACAGAGTTTGTATATGTCCGTTTTTAGAAACACATGATTGTTTTGGTTTAAATCTTTTTATATTATCAAACATAATGTGCAATCATGTGACAAACCAACTTCTACAAAGATAAATTAAAGTTAATTGACTTGATGTTAGTGATGTAGCAGATCAAAAGTATTGGTCAGGCTAGCAAAACACTGACTACATTAGCTTAATATCAGGCAGAAAAATGTTCTTTTTACCTTATTTCATCTTATTTTCCATTTTAATATCTGGAATCCCTGCAGAAACCCAGCATCTCTCTGACATCTCCGAGCGGAGGTCTGGTCTGGGGTCCTGAAGGTTCAGAGATAACCAGGGGTTACAGCTTTGTCTTCACCTGCCTTATGAACTTCAGCTCCACTCCAGGCAGTTTCATTCTCATCTTCTCGGGCTCCAACATCACACACATCAAGACAGCTGTCAACAACTCGCCTTCCTTTAGTTTCCCTGCAGCTGAGTATGGACACCAAGGCAACTACAGCTGTGTGTATGAAGCAACAGCAATGCTGTCAAGGAAATTCACCTCTCTGGAGGCAGAACCGATTTATCTGTGAACCAGAGGGACACTACAGACCGTATTTACATTGCCACATGTTGATGCTGAAATCATTAGCAGTATTTGTGGTCATCCATTTATATCATCCATCATGTAGCCATCAGCAGGGATCACCTTTCCGAGATAGAGCACCTCATTTCTGAACAGGTCCCATTTGTCAGGTCTTAGTTTAGATGCTTGAGAACATATCCTCAACACATCGTCTAAGTATGGATTGCATATTTTGTCTCTGAGGCCTGCTTCCATACTATACTGAAAAGCTCAGGGTGCATTTGTGAGGCCAAACACAATCCTGTTTGATTCATACCACATCCATGGTGTTTTAAAGGTTGTGAATTTTTTTAATCTTCACTGATGCTATCCTGATAGTAAGTTTTAGCTACACTGAACCATGAATGTGTGGTATGGGGTACTTATCGGATTTGCGTTTTTAGGTTTTCATTTTTGTGTCTGACCAGGGGATCCTATAGTTTCGCCCTTTGAATCACTCTGAGTCTTTTCTGTGGTTAAGAGTGGAGTCTGAATGCTGTCAACCACTACTGAATCAACTTGGTGTTCTTTTATGTACACCAGGTAACAGCCTAACCTCCTTCTATCAGTGTTCCAGCTGGCAGCCTATCGTCTCTAACTCTGTTTAAGTTAATATATATGACTTGTAAAATGAGCATGTATATTCTAAGTCTATTTAACCCTTGTGTGGTGTTCGTATTTTTGTTACTCAGCCAGTGTTCATGGGTCTGGTGGACCCGCTAGAGTTTTGGCTTTCCAAATTAACACTATCAAACAATTTTATGTTAAATTACTCAACAGATGTTTACTTCATCCCAATTACAAGACATATGAACAGCAAACATGGTTAATTTTTTCCCTTTACCTTTGTTAGATCACATTTATGAATTAATGTGCTTCTCGTTTTTCTTTTATATAAAATGTTATAAATAAATCAGTTATAATCAAGTGGAGTGAGTGGAAAGACACAACACATTTACACGTGAAAAAATAATTAATTGTTTAATTTTTCTTTTGAAAAAAACTGAACACGGGTCTCACAGACCCGAACACCATACAAGGGTTAAACATCTTTTTTTTGTTGTTTTACTGATTTTATAAATGTCCTTCAAACAGATCCAGTAAATTCAGTGCTGGCAAACATTGGCCTTCATTTCTACAACAAGGTACTGTTCATCAGAGTCAATGAATGCATATTTACCTGGAAGAAAAGAATAGGAGCACAGTGGAAACAGGCATTTGTGTCTCTCCAGGTCACCACAAGGCAGAATTCAAAGCAAAAGGAGAACACAGAGATGCTTGTTTTTAGAGCAGAAGGAGCGACTGATGAGGAGGAACAGGCTGGGGGAACAGAGAAAGACCTCCGACGATTTCATCACTTCAGCCAGACTTAAAATCAGCTGGTGTGATTAGATCCGTAATATGCTTTTGAAGCTTCATGCATATCAAATAACAAGCATTCTGGGAGTTACATTCTGATAGTATAGCACTCACAGATAGTACACAAAACTTTAATATTACTGACATTGAGGAAAACCAACGGCATTCAAAAATTCATCTCCCACTGGTCCTTAGCTATACCAAGTTCCCCTGCTTTAACCATGATGACTGTGACTCAGGACTTCTAATTGGAAGTTCAGTGGTTTAAATCCTGGTTCCTCCAGTTTGCACCACAGAGTCTCCTTTAGCAAGATTTTGAACCCCATATTTACCAAATATATCCACAACTACCAATCTATTTAACTTAAATAGTGAGACCACAATGTGGTAAAGTGTCCATATCATGCATAAAACTAGCCTTGATTCAGCTCTCCAGACCTGATAAAGGATATTTCAGGAAATAGTAACAAGTAGTGGCTACTATCAGTCCATCTCAATATCTCTACACATCACACTACACCACACACACACACCACACACACACACACACACACACACACACACACAACACAGCACCTCACCACACAATCACACTAGACAGTACAACTACAACAAATTGCAGAAGTATTAAAGAGTAGGTAATGATACGTTTATATTATATTACACACAGTTATATTATTGCTACTACAGTGTTTTGTGTGTGTGTGTGTGTGGGGGGGGGGGATTACTGAAACTGTATCATATGTGTGTAATGTGTTGATTAATAAAATAATTAATGTGTTGTTCTCCCTTTTGGTTTTTTAGTTCCCGTTAACGTTTCCTTCCTGTTCTCTCAGTCTTATCTCTGTATTTTGGCTTTTAGTGTCTCCCATGTTGAGTCAGTCTTTTATGTCTGTTTACACTTTGTCTGTGTCAAGCTTGCACGACTAAGACATCCTGGTTTTTCTATTAATTACTTCCATTTTATATTTTGATAGTATATTATCTTGTGTGCATTATGTTTAGTTTTGCTTCCCCTGTCTGCACTTCCCTTATCACCCAGGCATGCTGCGTTTGTGTGTGTGTTCTGTAGTTATGTGTTTATTTTCCTTTGGTACTTTACGTTATGCCTTGTTATTTTGTCTTTCAGCCTAAATACAAAGTTCGCCTTTTGTTTATCACTATCACACAGCACATGACAGACCCTGGCATCACCACACCAAACATAGTAAGATTAGCAGTGCATTTTATGAAAAAACTGCAGCACTTGTTTCTCAGTTTTCACACTTTACAAAGCTTGTTTGTTAGTTCATCACAGGGTGACTGTGGGTAAGTGTCATTTTTGTTCTGAGCACCATCTTTGTGCCACTGTTTCTCCAAACTCAGGTCGCTCACAGAGGATCTAAAACACAGACTGATGAACTCAACAGTGAAGTTTGTTAGAGAAAAAAAGGTTTTCTTTACACTTATGTCATAAAGAATGTCCACTGAAGTTTCTTCTGCACTGTAGATAAGTTCATTCAGATTTTGATATTGCTACACTGTAGCTGATAGCTGTCTAAAGGCCTGAAATGTTTACACTGATAGGGCATGTGTACACATTCACTAAACAGGGATGTTTTAACCAATATTTAATTAAATTTATTGCATTTGATCTTTTAAAGCATTTTCCTTAATTATGACTGCTGATAGAGGTTATTATTTGAGATATTATTTATAGTTAGAGGTGGTGGTATGGACAGTGATTCAGGAAAAATGGCAATTGCTCTATGTGTAGTTAGGAGTGTGATTCCCACTGCGCTGTCAGCAGCAGGGTCCGGGGGAGGAGCTGAAGTGGTGACGATTAGCAGGCTGCTTTTCCCAGGCAGACGTGGCAGTCTCTACCGCAAAAAAATAAACGCAGATAAGCAAGGTGAGAAACTAGGTGATCTACTGCTGTACAGGACTTTTAACAGATTCAGTTACACTGCATGTTGTTTATGTATGAATGAGTAATAGTGAGCTTTGCACGCCTTTAACACCGGTTAACACAATGAAACTTCACGGGAGCAGCAACAGCTGGAACAGCTGCAGAGGGAGAGTGGGAGGGAAAGGAGGGGCCGCCACCGAAGACAGAGGACGGTGATAACCCGAAACGAAGGTTCGCAGAACGTCCTCCACACTGTGGTCTTTATCAAAAGCAAAAGTTTCCTTTCTCTACTTGAGCACTTTTCTGACACTTTGCTACTTTTTATTCCTCCAATTTCACACAAAGATCTCGACTTTCTACTCCTTACATTTTCCAAACCGGTTCATTATTGTCATTATTAATTATTTCACTCCTTTCTTGACTACAGGATTTTTTTTTCTTCTTGTTATACATTTAACAGGAACATCATGTGATTAATAAATTAATTTAAAGGATGTGGGGGCAAGTCCATGTAGAACATTATATGTCAGACAGGCGTACATATTGTCATCACCTCGAGCACAGTAGATTGTTCAAATTGATGGCATGGGTATATCTCCTAAAAATCTTGGATGAGTTTATTCTGTGTGACCCTGTGTTTTTGTTGGTGTATCACACACACTGCTGCGAAAAGCAATTTTCCTCCTTCATGATTTCTCTTCTTTTGCTTTTTTTGTGCATATTTGTGACACTTTAATGCTTCAGATCATCGATTTTAGGCCCATATTTTAAAGATTTTATAGTTTAAAGTGTGGCTTCCAATTTAGTCCTCAGAAACATTCATGAAATGAGTTAAGATTTAAAACTGTCGAAACAGAGACAATTCTCTGGTTGCATTTCTTTCCACTGCCACTATAAAAGGATTGACTTCGGTTCTCATTCAGATCATCTTCCCAAATGTTAAACTGTGAGTCCTTGCTAATACTTTTTAGGCTAATGTAGGAGTGCTTAAAATTATGAGCGCTTAACCTCAAGAATGTATCATCTGTGTCAATATTACTTTTTAATCACCAGATGGAGACAGTGTGTGTGTTTCTGTGGATGATGGTAGGGTTGGTGCAAATTTGCTTATAATGAATCAATATGTATCCGAGAGTCACTAGATTACTCGAGCAGTTTTATTTTTATTTTAAAAAACTGATTTTTTAATGATGTGGTGAGCTCCTTTAGAGCTGCTCGTGTCAAAGCCCCGTGGATGAATTTTTAAAAAAAATTCAAAACGAAAGAGGAAGTGTTTTGGGAGGATAAACCAAATGTGAAGTGTTTTTTGTACACTGTAGTTTTTTGTTGACTTTACTGTCTTCTGGTTCCCATAAATGACACGATCAGCCTCTTTTTTTCAGTCATGGGGTGCAGACAGCAGAGAGTGCTTCAGTTTTTGACCTTCGGTAAGACATACTTTTGTAATGCTTTTGTAGAGAGACAGTTTGGGTCTTTGAGGTTTACCTTTCAGTGCAAATATTGATCACTTTAGATAAATGACTACAGATGTATTTACTTACTTTACATAATCAGCAATGTCATTTTGTTCCTTCCAAAAGTTTCTTGCCTCTTGGCCTTCACTTCATCTGCTGCAGGTCAGTCTGTTCTTGTGTGTGAAATTTTTTAATTCTTTTCAAATTTAGGAAAGTATTAAATATAGTTTATATTATGTGCTGATAGGACAGATCAGACTAGCTGGGTCTGGATCCACTCAGTGCTCTGGAAGAGTTGAAATCTATCACAGTGGCTCCTGGGGAACGGTCTGTGATGATCGCTGGGACTTAAATGATGCTAAGGTGGTCTGTAGACAGCTGGGCTGTGGGGCAGCATTGGAGGTCACTTCATCTGCTCGCTTTGGTCAAGGAAGTGGACAAATCTGGCTTGATGATGTGGCCTGTTCAGGAAGTGAGAGTTCTCTAACTGAGTGTGGACACAATGGATTTGGGAAACACAACTGTAACCATGGTGAGGATGCTGGTGTCGTCTGTTCAGGTGAGAAGTGTTATAATTATGTTCAATAAATGTAACTGTGTATTTTAACAGCTAGTCACGAAACTGATTATCATCCTTTGCAACTTGATTTGTACTCAAAGAGTCAATGTGATTATTGCCATGACTAAGAAACCAAAAAATAATAAGTGAAGGTGCTCTGTCTTTTCTTGGTAATAATTTGTCTGTGTTCTGTCGCTAGCACCTCAGATTAGGTTCGCTGGGTCTACTTCATGTTCAGGAAGAGTAGAATTGTACTACAACAGTTCGTGGGGAACGGTCTGTGATGATTACTGGAACTTAAGTGATGCTAAGGTGGTCTGTAGACAGCTGGGCTGTGGGGCAGCATTGGAGGCCACTTCATCTGCTCGCTTCGGTCAAGGAAGTGGACAAATCTGGCTTGATAATGTGGCCTGTTCAGGAAGTGAGAGTTCTCTAACTGAGTGTGGACACAATGGATTTGGGAAACACAACTGTAACCATGGTGAGGATGCTGGTGTCGTCTGTTCAGGTGAGAAGTGTTTGTTATACTCTTATCAAAACATAGATAAAAATGTGCTAAATTAATAAATAATACATTTTGAACTCTTTATTTATGAAGCACACTCATTAAGCGTTCTGAGTGGTGGAAGAAAGTAGATCATCAATCATTGTTTAAAATAACCAGCTGTTCCTCTTTTGGCAGCAATAACTTCAACTTCATGCCAGCCCCTTTCTAAGTTCTGATCTCTGTGTCAGATATTTGTGTTTTCATGAGTGTGTGATAAGACAAGTAAAAAAAAAAAATCGGTGCTTGTGTCAAAATGGCTGAAGATATCTTTATCAATGTCAGTTTCCTTTCTTTGATATTATTTTATTTATTTATTTTTTAGAAAGAGGGGCAATACATATTAATGAACATTTTAACAAATGTAAATATGCCAGATTATAGCCTTGGGCTAATTTCCATCTGCAGACCCTCTGGCAGGTTGGTGTTAAACACAAGTTAGTAAAAACATACAGAGACACTATTTACAGGTCATGTGACAAGGACAAAAACAGTGATCACATTATACTAGAACAAACAATGACAAGAAGAGTGGACACAGAGGACAGTATAGATAACAATAACGGAAAAACATCAATTATATTGCACAAACCCCAGTATTGTACATGCCCTGACCATCGTGATATTGCGTTCACCCATTGCACTAACAGTTGTTTCCCTTTTTGTAATACACTAACTCTTTTTCCCGTCCAATATAAAACATGATTATTAAACATGATTACATGTTTGTGTGTCCCTCAGCCGCCCTTTTAAGTGACTCTTAAAGATGGGTAGACTTGTACTTTCCCTCACTGACAGTGGAAGACTATTCCAGAAGCTCACTCCCTGATATGACAGAGCATTCTGTGAAAAGGTGGTCCGCCTGAGTGCCAGTTCACAATCACCTCTAACAGTGGCTCAAGTCAGTCGAGACCCGGCAACACTGCTAGACTTTTGTTTAATAAAATCACTCATTGGTGGAGGCGCCAGACCATGTATAACTTTGTATATTAGACAGGCAGATTTAAATAATTTGAAATTAGTAAAATTTAAAAACTTGTATTTTTCTAAAATTTGACAATGGTGATATGAAAAAGGTTTTTTATCTAATATTTTCAATGCTCTTTTGTAGCATACTTCAATTGGCCCAATAGCAGCAGAGCTCGTATAAGACCAACTTGTAATACAATATTCAATATGAGCCAGTATCATAGAATGCAGGAATGTAATCGCTGCTGTGTCTGTTAATGATGTGCGGATATGTCTAAAGTTCTGTATATTAATATTTACAGTTTTCACTACTTTTTTAATGTGTTTTTTAAAGGATAATTTAGAGTCTAGTAGCACTCCCAAATACTTACAGCATCCATGCCCAAATATGGTACCACATGATCTTATCAATACTTGATATTTATAGTTGCAGTATGGTGCTGTTTTTTCTCAGTAATCTTCATGCAGCAACTTCCCTCTTGGTTTCCTGCTATGGACCGCATGCCTGTTCAGTTATTTGTATTTAAAAAACACATTAACAGCGGTGCTTATCAACAGAACTAATTCGCTTGAATTAGCTCTAACTTCAACAAAGAGGTTAAAGTGATTTTTGGAGGTGGAAAACCTAAGAGAAGATCAGAATCAGAATCAGATCAGAATCGTGTTTATTGGCCAAGTATATGTTGTTATGGCCCGTCTAGGCGCGGCCAGACCACAACATAAAGGGTGATCCATCCCCGTCCAACCCAAAGCAGCACGTCACACACTTAATACTTTGTGACAGTGATTTATTTACAATAAGTGCAGTTAAACAAAGGAAGGGAGCATATCATAACTTCAGGGTGAACCCAAGGCCAAAACAACAAACAAAAAGTAACCTATCTCAGGGATAAACACAACTTACCTACTCAAAAGAACTAAACCAAACGACAATCACTTTCCTCCCTGCCTAACAAAAACAGGAGAAAACTGATCAACCAAAAAGGCGGTCCACCCCTACATGCTCTTACATTAACATAATATTTGACACAGTGAACGGTCTGCCGGTTGGGTTGGGCCGAGGATGAATGAATTGGCAGTCCCTGGCGGTCTCTTCTTATCCGCTGCCTCCCAGTCCTCAGCCAATCGGTGTGAGCCATCCACCCTGGATGCACCAATCCCGGAGGAGCACCTGGACACTCAGATTCACACACAATTACGGTCACAGTCGTAACAATGTGCAGACACATACAGGGAATTTGGTTCCGGTAGATGGTGGCTCTCAAGCACAGCAATGTAAATCTCACACACACAAGTGTCTATATATACACATTACACATACATTCACAAAGCTATGTAAACCAACTATAAATAACGAATCTAAACTTATATACATAAAATACAGAAATGAATGAGGTGGAATGAATACTACAAAATGTACATAAGGTGCAGTTGCAGTCTGGCAGTGGGAGCAGTGTGACAGGTCAACTGTTAAGAAGGGAGATGGCGAGGGGAAAGAAACTGTTCCTGTTTCGGGTGGTCCTGGTCTGCAGGCTTCTGTACCGTCTGCCAGAGGGCAGCAGATCAAAAAGTCTGTGTGCAGGGTGTGAGGGGTCTGTGATGATTTTCCCTGCCCGTTTCCTGGTTCTTGAGAGGTACAGATCCTGGATGGAGGGCAGGGGGGCGCCGATGATCCTTTCTGCTGCCCGTACAGTCCGCTGCAGTCTGCTCCTGTCCTGTTTAGTTTAGGACTCCCCCGTCTACGTCTTCTCCAGGAGCCACAGAGAGCTGCTGCGCCTCCAACTAAAATCTCCAAAAAACTTTCCGGGTTTGTGAAAAATGGATAAGAACTATAGTGAGATGACTGCCTGATGTTAAGCAGTTGATCTCTGGAGAAAGTGATGTGGTCTGAGTGACCAAAAGCGCAGAAAATAAACAAAAACAAGAAAAGTGCGAGAGAGCGCAGTACCGAGGCTGCCATCCGCGGCGCCATCTTGGAATGCTATTCCAAGATGCACCATAAGGAAAGAAATCACTGAGAAACAAGAGCACGTGGAGACCACAACTCCTCCGAAGGGCAAGAACTATACAAAAACCTGTTTTAGTGTTTTAAGATGTTCCTATGAGAACATGCTAATAACATCCTGTTTGTATTACAATATGATGACATTAGCCTGTTTCTATTAGAAGATCAAGGACATCAGCAATATATACTGATTATTAGTGCTGATGTCAGCATGACAACATCATGTTATTCAATTTGTTTTGGATTATGATATTTTTATAGCACAAAGACATTTTTAATACAAAAATGATGATAAATGTGTTTTCTTGCCATTAAGTTATTAGACCTCGGGTGTCAAACAAGTGAAATAATAATTTCATTTGTCAGGTATTAATGGCCCGTGGGAGGCGAATCTTCAGCCCTGCTAAGAATTCATGCAAGCAACTTTATTAAATGAGCACACCATTTGGCCACATGCAAAGAGACTAGAAAACTTGACGTCATTTATAGTTCTTAACTTGTTTCATCTGCTGCTCACCACAAACAAGCATAAATTTTGGACTTTTAACTATATTTTCATAGGTTTTACAGCTTTTCCTACTGATAAAAATCTTCCTTATGGCCACAAAGTAATTAAGCAATAAACAATTAATCCATTGAACCCCAAAGCCCCCAGTATCAAATGTGAAAGGGAGAACATCTGGTTTAACAGGATGTACAGCCAGATCTGTTAAATATATAAACGTGTAGCATCCACAGAAACATCAGAATCTCAGCTAAAAGTTTTCAAAACCATTTCAACAACCAGCAAACAGCAAATGATTAACGAGCAGGTAAACAGATTTTGCTTTGTGAAAATAGGAAAAGTTCTTCTAAAGACTCTTCAAAGAGTCATGCTGACAGATTTTCTTTCTTTGTCACAACTTTTTAAAACTGTTTAATATGTAACTTCTTTACACAGTGACAGAAAGCAGAGTTTGGTCCGGCCCACTTAATAGCAAAGTGGTCTGTACGTGTCCCGCGAAGTAAAATGAGTTTGACACCCTGCATTGAACACTTAGGAATCTATGGTGTCTTAAGTCTGTACAGTGTTTAGCTGACACTGGGTGAAAACAAACACTTCATGTTTTTCATGTGTTTCTTGTTGCCTGGCTGCACACACAGAAAGTCATGATGCCAGACATATTCAGGAACTAACAAGGTTCTGAAATCAAATGTTACTCAAACCAGCCATTCCAACCCTACAGTACTTACCTAAATGTAAGTTAAATTATGTAAGACTTATATATCCGCAGGATTTATCATCTCATTCCCGTGATCAACACTTCATAGGCTGAAAACAAAAACAAAAAGAAAAAAAAAAAAAAAAAAAAAAAAAAAAAAGGAACCCAGACAGATAAGCATGATCAGTCAAGCTCATTCACACAGAAATGAAGGGGGTGGGTGGGAGCAAGATATTTTTTTAAGGCATGCCGTAAATGCCTTATAGGTAAGTTACATGGGTGGAATCTCTTTTGTTTTCTTAATAAAAAAATTGTCTTTGATTTTGCTGGTCTCCCTGGTGACCATGAAATCCTGCTGCTACTCTTCCAGTACTGTTTCAGTCCATGCAAACTAACATCTCTAAGAAATCTATAGTAGTAATTAGAGATGGACCGATCCGATATTACGTATCGGCATCGGTCCGATACAATGAGAAATGGTTTAGAGAGGAACTTGGTGTTTGCTATCTTGCCAAAATGCACTTAGGCATGCAGATTGGAGACTCGAGCAGCCAAGAATCAAACTACCAACATTCCAGTTAGGAGATGGCCTACTCTACCTCTTGAGCTACAGCTACCCCAGGTATTTATTAGAAAAGGTAGTTAGCAATGACAAAGGAAGGGAGAGTGGGGCATGTTCTGTACAGAACGATTACTGCTAACAGACATGAAATTAAGTTAGATGAAGGATGGGGGGATGGGGAAGAGCTGGGGTGGTAGTGAGTTGGTAGTGGGTTGTAAAATTAAAAAGTTACAAAGATTTGCTATTTAAATGCATAAACTTATATTTATCTAAACTAACATTATGCTAAACTGTGTTTTTCAGTGAGCCTTCCAAAGCCCAGGATCTCTCTGAATAGAGATAAGGTTGCCTGGGGTGAAGATGTCATCATTACTTGTTCGATCTTATCCGAGTTCTCTGGTGGAACTTTCATCCTCAAGAAGACCTCAGGCACTTTCAGCCAGACTGCATCCTCAAGTTCCACATCTGCTACCTTCAGTATCCACAAAGTGGACTTAGATCATAACGGCTCGTACCAGTGTCAGCATAAGAAAACCATTTCAGAGCAAAACTTTTCGTCCCCCCTCAGTGATGCTGTCAGACTCTCTGTTAATGGTAAGAAAACAAAACAATTTCCTGAGCTCGACAGCTCCAAGAATCAAAAGCTAAAAGTGTCATTAAACCAGCAAAATATCAATCAGTATTATGCTGTTTTTTTGTTTGTTCATTTGTTTTGTTTTTTCAGTGAGTTTCCCAAAACCCCATATCACCATAAATCCTGTTGGTGAAGTCACCTGGGGTCGGAACATTGCAATCACTTGTTCAATCTCCACTCAGGTTTTGGGTGGATTGTTCATTCTGAAGAAAACATCAGATTCATTTATAAGGACCCAAACTTCTAGTACAAACTCTGCAACATTCAATATCCTTAAAGTGAACTTTGATAACGAGGGATCGTACCAGTGTCAGTATCAGAAAATGGGCTCAGGTCTTGAATTTAACTCCCCACCAAGTGACTCTGGTAGGCTCTCTGTGACAGGTAATAAAGCAAATACATGTAAGAAGCATTTTTTCAAACAAAATGAGAAATTATCATTTTTAATACAGATAAGTTGTTTCAGTCATAGCTTAAACTTGTTTTAATAGCTATTTACAAAAAAAAGCACAAACAAAAGCAAAAAAAAAGCATTCTGAACAGAATCCCACTTTCATTGTGGATTTTTCAGTATCCAGAGAAAATGATCTCAAAGCCAACAGTACTGAGGAGTAAACACACACACTACTTGAAACAAACTATTACATACCATGGAGGATTGAGCAGCTAAAGAGCTAAATGCTACGTTGAGGGCTAAAAGATTCAGTAAAAAGACTAGATGTTACAATCCCTGATAATGCATTGCTCTAAATGGAGAAAATCTTAAGGGATGGCTGTTATGAGGAAAGGCAGCCCAGAAACTTTACCAACAGCATTCTTCGTTGTGTGCCTCAGCTTTCGGTCTTTTACCCAAGCTAATCTGCCATTTTTCTTGGCAGATAAGCATGGACTTTCATTTATCATGTAGCAAGAACCTTCTAATGTTGCTCAATAACTGCTGAATGTGTGAAAAATAAAATAACACCAAATACTAATAAGTTAGTAAGTGATGAAATGTGTTGAGTTTGATTCAGCTTCCCTTAAGTGCCCCACAAAAATCCTTCCTTCTGCTTTTGATTCTAGAGTTTAAACAAGTCCAGAATTAAAAGGTAGAGAGAATAATATGTTTTAATCCCAGTTTGCTTTCACACAGTGAGACTACAGAGGCCCAGCATCTCCTTGATGTCTCCTAATGCAGGACTTGTCTGGGGTCCTGAAGGTGCACAAATCACCAGGGGTTACAGCTTCATCCTCACCTGTTCCATTAACTCCACATTTTCCAGTGGACATTTTATTCTGAGCTTCTCTGGCTCCAACCTCACAGAGCCAGCAGTCAACAACTCAGCCTCCTTTAGTTTCCCTGTAGCTGAGTATGAAAATCAGGGCAACTACAGCTGTGTGTACGAGGTCACAGTGTCCACACGGACATTCAGATCTGCTGCAACAGCACCGATCAGTGTCATCATTAAATGTAAGTACAGTGTTGAATTTATGTTTTATTAACAAAACCATATCATAACTACCTAATTTTTCTCAGTATTAATGTCTCTGTGTTTTCCCTTTGTATGTTTGCAATTAAGACTAGAAAGAGAAGAAGCAGTAGAAATAGGGGCAAAGGCTGAAATAAAAATAGAACTTAACAGAAACAGGAACTTAAGCCTTGATGTTGCCAAAAAAAGAAGAAAAAAAAACTGCTGCCAAACAGCAGTTATGTTCATATATATATATATATATATATACACTTCTGGTAAAAAAAAAAAGTTTATGTCTCATTGCACTCTGAAATGAAAACATAGTGCACATAAGCAACTGAAGTGTACCAAAATGTATTCTAAAGTTTTGACTCATCAAAGTAGACTTTTGGCAGATATAACAGTTTTTCTACAATAGAAATCAAATATTCTTCAGAAAGTCCTTCCCAATCTGTTGCAGAAGGTCCCATAAATGTCGCACTTGTAGGTTGCTTTGCTTTCACTCTTCTGTCCAGCTCGATGGGGTATAAGTCTGTGTCTGAACAAGCCATCCTCTTGTTCTTTTTCCTGAGGTAGTTCTGGCATAGTTTGGACTTGTGTTTTGGGTCATTATCTTGCTGTAGGATGAACCCCTGACCAACTAGGCACAAACCAGAGAGTATTGCATGGCACTGCAGAATGCTGTGGCACCATCCCTGGATCCAGTAAAACAGCCCCAGACCATCACTCTTCCTCCTCCATGTTTGACAGATGATGCCACACACTGTGGAACCATCCTTTCGCCTACTTGATGGCAAACAAAGATCCTACATGATGAACTGAAAATTTAAAATTTTGATTCATTAGTCCACAATACCTTCTTCCAGTCTTCAGTAGTCCAATGGCGGTGTTTCATGTCCCAGGCAAGCCTCTTTGTCTTAATCTGACGTCTTAGCAATGGCTTTCTTGCTGCAACTCGTCCTGTCAAACCTTCAGCTTAAAGTATTCTCTTTACCGCTTAAACTGAGACTTGCTTTCTATACCACTATTAACTCATTCACTGCCATTGACGGAAAAAGGACAGTGGGGAGTTACCTGATTTGAAAATGGCTGGCAGTGAATGAGTTAAGCTGTGCTTGAAGCTGTTGTCCTGTGAGCCGCCTATCATACAAGCTGTTAACTCTCAGAAACTTGTTCTCTGATTCAGTGGTGGCTTTGGGTCTGTCAGACCTCTTTTTGTCTGAGTTATCAGTTCACCATTTACCTTTGTACCATTTCAAGCTATTCATTGGACTTGAATGACATGAATTGCAATAAATAACTAGAAACATTTGGGTGTTCTAAAACTTTTGACCGGTAGTTTATAATAATGATAAATGGACTGTTTCTTATATACCACTTTTCTGCTTTTCTGCTCTGAGCACTCAAAGCACTTTATACAACTTGCCTCACCCAGACTGAAGCAGCCAGTGATCAAACCATCAACCTTCTGATTAGTAGATTACCTCAATTTTTTCAACAAAAGTCGTATACATTTCAAAGATTTGCGTATGTTCAGCTTTCTTTTTCTGTTTTTTTAAAAAAAAATTTTTTACAGGTTTTGTAACAAAACCATCTAAGCATTTTTCCCCATATATAAAGCTCTTCTCAACCACTCTTCCTAAGCGAAAAGCTTAGCTCACATAGATATGTTGTGGAAAATGGGAGCAATGTCAAAATGGCTCTGTTTGCCAGAATGAGGAACTCCTTTGCAGCAGTCAACCAAAAACTATCCAAAGATAGATCAGCAAAGCTTAGCTTCACACCACAGTCTTGTGTCAATTCAGTTAGTTCCTCCTGTTCCTGCAAAGTCTTATCCTTTCTAAAAACTGCTGCTGAGCTATATGGGTCTCTTACCCAGTCAAGGCATTCAGTGGAAACAGAGGGGAAATAAATTAACAACTTCTTCTCGAGCGTTTTCAAATGTTTACCTACTATTTCACACAGTGTGGCAGTTTCAGTATCTCCTTGCCATTTCTGAGTGAGTGGGAACATGCCAAGGTTGGCATTTTTTTAGATAGAATAGAATAGAATAGAATAGAATAATCCTTTAATTGTCCCACATGGGGAAATTTGGTGGTAACAGCAGCCAAAAAGACACATATACAAACAAACAGTACACAGGACACGGAACAGAAACATACACAATCTTTCTTACATATTTACATTAAGGACAATGGTTACTATAAACAGAGTACTGTACAGTTATTAAATTAAATAAAAATAACTACAGGTAAGAGGCAAACCAGGTTGTAGTGCGAATCGGTTAATTAAAGATTTTGTTGCCAGAGGTGGACCTTTGAACAAAATACATTTATTATATCTGTGCTTGTGAGCAGGTTTTCATCTCGGCTTTGCATTTGTGTGTTAAGTTTATTAAAATGCTGAAGTATATCTGCCATGTAAGCCAGCCTTGCACACCCCTCATCACTTGTAAGCAGCTTTGCATCATTGTACCTCTCATCACTCAAAAACATGTTTAGCTCTTCCTGCAGCTCAAACACACAGGCCAGTACTTTGCTGCGTGCCAACCATCGGACCTCTGTGTGGAACAATAAAGCTTTATGCTCCACTCCCATTTCCTCGCACAGAGATGCAAGTATGTGGCTTTTCAGAGGTCTTGTGTTGATGAAGGTTACCATGCGCACGACATCATCCAATACAGGAGCTTGGTCTGCGGGTAAAGTCTTGGCAACGAGCGCCTTGCGGTGCAGAAAACGGTGCGTAATAATAACATCTGGGTTTATCGCTTTCACTCTGCTAACGAAACCTTTGGTGCGTCCGACCATGGCTGCTGCTCCATCAGTGCAGATACTCGTGCAGGTTTCCCACCCTCTTTGTTCAAGCTATTCGGATGTAACCCAAAAAATTTCCTGTCCCGTTTTTTTTCTGGCAGTGCCTTGCAAAATAGAAAGTTTTCTCTGATGGAGTCTCCTTCCACAAGACGCACATTGGCCAATAGTTGGGAATGTCAGCTAATGTCCGTAGACTCATTAAGATTGGAAAGAAAAGCATCTGGACTTCTTTAAGTTGCTTGAAGACGTTTCACCTCTCATTCGAGAAGCTTCTTCAGTTCTAAGGTCAAATGGTGGAGAGTCCCAGATTTAATTCCTCAGTGAGTGTCCCCCAAGGGGGTCATGAACCCCTGTTGATCCTCTACCTAATGGAATTAATTAAATAAATAAATAGTTATGACACATTTAATTAATTATTGACACATTTTAATTAATTATTGACACATTTAATTAATTATT